AAAAAACAGTTTTGCACTGCTTCATCAGTGATACTATTGAAATGTTTTCCATTTCTCTTATTTAAAAAAGTTTTCTTTATAAATCCACAAATAACCTGATGTACCAAAAATGTTATCTCTAAGAACAGTTGCTAATAAATACAATTTGTGATATGTTGCCAATTCCATTGATTAATAAGTCAGGAGGTAAGCTGCTTTTGAATTTTTGATGCATAAAAAGCACTGCTTCATAAATGCTTTTATTCTGTTTTATATTATTTTTTTCATATCTATTATTAAACATTTAGTTTTTTCTGTCTTCTAGATGGGCTACAAGTCCAATATAATACAGTATCGACTCCAAATTATATTGATTTACTCTACATCACTTTGTACTCTAAGAAATTTAATTCTGGATGCAAAAGCAGATTTCAATTAAGGCTGAAAAAATTATCTCATTCAGGATCATTAGGGATTATTTTGACAGATTTTACAGCAATAATAATTAACAGTTATATATATATGCCACTTTTCAAATAATCCCCCTATAATAGAAATATAATCATTGTTTCATTATTTCCTCTTTTTTTAAAAAGTGATTCAGAAGGCCTTAGGGTCATCCTTATGATTTCTAATTATTATGAATGTGCCAGTTAATGGGAGAGTTGTATTTTCAAAAGGCTTAACAGCAGCCTACTCGATGTTCTTGTGATGGTTAGAATATTTTTCCACAATAACCAATGAATGTTTAACACATTCAAAAAGCATTTATTGGGTACTTACTACAGGCAGCTTCTGTGTTAATCACTCCTTTCTCACACATTGTCTAGAACTACAGCTTGACTTAGGAGCCAATTCATACTGGTTATCTGATAAAAGACCTACTGATAATCTTTTAGTCATAAGTGTAAATGTATACACTGATGACAAACTTATGACACCATATTAAGGTATCATCAGGAAAATGTATGATAATTTTATGGTACCATCCATGTATCTTACTGACTGAGAAAGTAAATTTCCCCTCATATTTGATCCATATTTTAATGGACTAATAGTGATCCTAAAATCTGCTCATGTAAAGTTAAAAGGTAAGGTTTAGCATTAAGTAATATGCTAGTCAAAAAACCAATAACAATTATGTTTTTTAAGTTTTCCTTTCTGTTATACCGCTTTAAATACTTTAAAATTTTTCTGAGTTCTAACAAGGAATTTGCTAGCACCAATCCCTTACTCACAAAGAGTAATTAATAAAAGGCATCATAATAAAGTTAATGAAAATGACTTTTCAGCACTATTTTTTCGAAGTTTCTTTATGTGGACCATTTTCTTAAATTCTTTATTAGATTTGTTACAATAATGCTTCTGTTTCATGTTTTGGTTTTTTGACTGTGAGGCATATGGGATCTTAGCTCCCTGACCAGCGATCAAACCTGCACCCCTGCACTGGAAGGCAAAGTCTTAACCACTGGACCACCACCAGAGAAGTCCCTTTTAGGCACCATTTTGAAACTTGAGTGCAACAAACTCTGAGGATCTTTTATGAACCAGGAACTGTTCTTTGCACTGAGTATACAAAAATAAGACATAGTTTCTGCCTTCAGAAGCTTAAAGACCAGTGGGGGAATAAACACTTAAATCGGTAAATAGTTTCAATATAATTGGGAGAAGTACGCATAGTAAGGAAAGGCCTTAGCCCAGCTGGATGGAGGTGAGGGGCTGGATAGAACGACCACCAGAAAGCACCAGGGAGAGTCATGAGAAGGAGGTCCTCATGGTGACAAGGCATGAAAAGATGAGTAGGCATAACAAGGTAAAGAATGGGATGAAAATTTCAGCAAAGACATGGAAGTGTGAAACAGCATATGAGATTGTAGGAAACACAACCAGAAATTTTCTAAAATTATGTTCTACCAGGACCCCATGACCTTTCTGTGGCTTTTGTTCCTTTATATTTTATCAGTTCAACCTTCACATGTTCATAATGGAAGGCTAGTAAACCACCATCTGGAGGCTGTATCTATGTAAATACCATCCATCCAGAACAGAGAAAGGGAGCTAGAAACGAAAAAAAATGGCTACCACAAAAGCCATGTGGTGGGAAGCTGACATCAAGAAGGAGACAAAAATTACACAATAACCTGGGAATATTTAGTGTAAGAGCATTCAGCTCTGCACAGTTCAAAACCCCATGAGAATACACTACAGAACAATACATTATCTGATGGTCACAATACTGAGCCTGGGTCCCTAAGATAAAGTTTTCTCTTGTGGACCTCACTTATAAGGGGTCTGTGTAACAAATACTGTGTAACAAATATTCTTAGAAAGATTTCTACCCAATAATGTTGACATAAAAAAGGTTTTTTAAAATATTTATTTATTTAGCTGCACTGGGTCTCAGTTGTGGCACATGGGCTTTTCTCATGGTATGTGGGATCTTCATTCCCAGACCTGGGATCGAACCTGTATTGCCAGCATTGGAAGGGGGATTCTTAGCCACCAGACCACCATGGAAATCCCAAAAGTTTTATAGTAAATAAGAAATATGCCAATACTTGTAAAATTCATATTTGTGAACCACCCATTTCTCAACCATCAGACAGAAGGGGTATTATTACAGCACAAATAACAAAATTCAGTAACATAAAGAATCTCTGTGTAGAAAATATTCAGGATCACAAACTGGGAGAAAAGAAAACAATTTTAGTTCTTGATTTATTACATGCGTTAACTCTTCATTTTATATGACAAACTTTCTATTTCAAAAGCTTATTTCATCTGACATCTTCACACACAGAAATTCTCAATAAATGTCTGGTAATCAATGAAAAAATGAATAACTTTTAAAAAAGATTTTATATGTTGAAGAAATATTGACCATATAGTTTCGCATTTCACAATAAACCATAGCATATTAATTTGACCCCCAAATTAGGCAGAAAATAAAAGCACTTCATCAAGTACTCTACTTGCTTGCAGTGCCAAGACATGAGAGTATACACTATAGGTCAAATTTTAAACTGGGACCAAAATACCAAAATAATATAAAAGTACTTTATTTAAATATCAAACACATGGGCCAGATTAGCCAATCTTGAGTGGCTATAATAAACCAGATATTTTACTACACCAAATACTCTGATTCTCAGGGACGTGATGTTAGAATAGCCAAATTCACATCACTAACCTTTCTGTTAATCTTAGTTTTTTATTTAAGTGTGAAATCTTTGCATTAAGCATACCATATAACATCCATCTCCATGGATTATGAATATAATCTACTCGTCTAAACTCACCTAGTGATTCAATTCTGTATTCTCTTTCCATTTATAGTCTGTACATTCCAAATAAAATTCTACACAGGTTTTCATTCCCTTTTTATTCAGCTTATCAAAAAGTCACTGTTAGGGCTTTAATATCCTAAATTACGCTACTTAGTTAATAATTTCTTTATTTCACATTAAATAAATGAATTCAGGAGTATTAGCATTTATAGAGAAACATCACAGTTTCCACTGTCTTACACTAATTCATATGTTATTCTTAAGAAAGCAACGATTAAGACTAGGAAAAAATAGTGTTGTAGTATTGATCTATCACTTCACAAAAATAAATTCAGGAATTCATTTGAAATAATTAAAGACTGAGTGTTTTTTAATTATTTTTTCTAGTGTACAACAACCTAATTTTTTCCTGTTCTTGGCCAATGAAATCTTTGCATGATAAAAATTACACATCATAAACCATTTTTCAAATATTCAAAGTGTAAATTTTTAGATTGACTTTTAAACCTTGATTATTTTTATAAATTTAAAGCAAAAAGTTTTTCATAAGAGAAAACCCTTGAAATATTTTTCAATAATGATCATTAATTTTTTTTTAACAGAATACTAAATATGTACTGTGCACTAACTTATCATTTGGCGCTCTACCTAGAGAAAAAAAAAACACGTATAAGCGCCAAGTCAGTTTAAAATTATAAACATATTCATGTGCAAATTAAAGATTTACAACCACAGTACTGTGCTCAATTATACACGAAACAAAATTTATTTTGTTTCCTGACATATTCAATCAAGTTTTAATAACTTCATAGACCCTAGACCTAAAGCTGCCAAAAATCAAAGTATACTGGCAGTAAGAGAGCCTTCAATCATTATGAAGAAAATATCCAGGCTATTGATAATTATTTATCAAATTAACATTTCAATCAGGTGTCAGTATCTCATTTACTAATAGAATTAATACATTTCTCACAAATTCTGATTTTCTATCACCACCTCCTCCAACTTGAGATGCACCTGCCATTTTCAAGGTTTTAAAAACACTTGTTGAAAAGACTGTTGAAAAGTTTAAAATAATATGAAATTTTAGTTATCCCAAGGAAGTATATATATCCCAATAATACTGAAAATTTGGGGGGAAGTGAGGATAGTTTAATGACTTTCAAAATTAATTCAAATGAAACTCTTCATGTAAGCCTGATTTTTTGCTTTGAGTAAATAAGTTATTAGAAGACTGAGTACCAAGGGAAGCACAAATGCCATTACTTAAAAATTTACCTTGCCACATGACAGCATTTACCCTTGGCGGGGGGAAAAGTCACCTTTCATCCTAAAGAAATCACTCAGGTTAGCCCAATTCCAATGGACATTGAAGCCATGGACGAAAAAATCATGCAAAAGGATTAGTTATTCCACCTTAGGTTTGCTGCCATTTCAGGGACACCCCATAAGTACTCCTCCTCTGCAGAATCAGAGTTGACCCCTGACAACCCCTAAAAGGTAAAAGTGCAGAGAAATTATCGCTGTCCAAAGTTAGGTTGGGGGTGGGGGGGAAGGTAGCAAATGAGAGATGTATGAAAACCGACACGCTTTGCCCTCTGAAATGCCTATTTACTTTTGACAAAAGAAATAAATAGAAGCAAAACCGAGATTCAGAAGGAACTCTCTCTGCTGCGTGCACCGGTTGAGCATATTTCAAAGACCCCTTAGAAAAGAAGCAGGCTGGAGGCTCACCTTCCATCTCGCCGCCGGGCTGGGCTGGAGCTGCTGCTCTGGATAACCAGCCGCTCCACGTGCTCCTGCCGTCGCCGGGACGCAGCGCGCAGCTGGCGGGAGATTCCCAGCGCGGGGAGTCCCCGGGATCCGGCCGCCGCGTCGGCGCAGATAGAAAGGGGCAGGAGCCAGCGACCGGACGGTGCGCGGGGTTACAGCGGCGCTGGCTGGCGGCGGCTTTAAAGGACGCTCACCGCCGAGGTATCTACCGCGCCTCCAGCAGCCTTTTGAATGTCAAAGCCGAGAACCCCAATAGGAAGGAAATGGCAAGACAGTAAATTGTCTCCAAATGTCTATTTTAGAAGGATAGTGGATAAGACAGTAATATCACATGGCGGGAAGGAGGATCTGGATTGCTTTCTTGCAAGTCTAAGTTCAAAGGAGGTTTGTCTTGAGCAAAATATGCAACTTCTGGTCTAGATTCAGGGATGATAGCCATGAATGCCATCAATGAGCACTCCATTAAATATGTTTTTCTTCAACTTTTCATTTCACTTAATAAAAGTCCCTGATCCAAGTTTTCAGGAAGTTCTAAGACAGTTCTAAAGAGTGTTGGCACTTTAATCAACTCAACTTTTTCAACTGGAAGCAATATTCTCACTTTATTTTCCCTTTTGGAAACTGCTTGATTTGCCACCATTCACAAAACACTACACACTGTATTTATGTGTGTTTATTTTCTACTACCTTACCTTCTTCCAAATAGGATCTGAGACAGCTTACAAAAATACATATATAATGTATTAGTGCTAAGAGATTGGGGTGGGAAGGGGAAGATACACTAAGACAGTAAAATTGACTCAAAGATGTTAGTTGTACACAGAGTGAACATCTTTTCCCAACATCCTTCCCACGTTAAGCACACATTTGACTATAGGGAGAGGGAAGGGGAAGTGAACACATAATTTTTACAAAACAGAATTTTTCTTCACACTGAGGTTGAAGGGACATTGTTCAGGTGAATCCTCTTAAAGTTACCCAGTATGTTAAATATGTAAATGATTCTCAAAAAGACCATTTTTGCCTTTGTGAGAGACGTATGTTGTTGGTATATACAAGTATATTTGAGACTTAACGTTGGGAGTTCATGCATCAGAAGGCCATACCAGAGTAAACCCGCTCTTATCAAGTTAAAGAATACATATTGTAATTTTATGAATTTTAGTTTATTTTAAATATGCCTTGGTATAGGAGATATATATATATATATAGATATAGGTATATAATTTTTAAATGAGTTAATAACTTGTAATGGTTTTGTTTTACGATTATGGCACCATGACAGCATCTCTATAACTTGTATGGGTTGGAGTTCTACAGGATAATAACAATTTCGGAGAAATACTCTAAACACTAGGTCTAATTTTAGTATCGAAAGGGGAAATTTGTTGTTTGTTAGTTTCTAAAGGCAAAAATAGCACATCAAAAGTAGCAGAAGAGGAACTGTAAAATTTCACAGGGATGGTGTAAGGATGAATAGTTATTTGGTTATTAAAAGTTTTAGAAGGTGTTTAGCTTCCATTACAATGTTCTTTATACTTATCAATGGAATGTGTTACTACTCTGTGAATAATTAGCTCAGTATTGAGTATTTCAGACTCAAAAACGTGATACTTAATGGGATAGATCAAAAGTAAGTGGGTAAAATAATTCATGCAGCTATTTCACCCTCAAGGAGGTAGAGCATAAATCCCCACTCCTTAAGTGCAATTCACTTCTGCGTGTTTCTAGTGGCCTAGTGATTAGGATTCTGGGCTTTCACTGCCATGCCTAGGTTCAATCCCTGGTCAGGGAACTGAGATCCCACAAGCCACACAAAGGACCCCACCCCCCAAAAAAG